TGATCTGCCCACCTGGGCCTCCCAAAGTGCTGGGATTACAGGCATGAGCCACCACGCCTGGCCGGTTACACTTATTTCTACTCAGCAGAATTCTATTTATATATGAGAGAGATAAAGAGAAAAAGATAAAGGAAATGTGGTTATATATATATACACACACACACACACATACACACACATATATACACACACAACACACGCATATGCTTACATATATTAAAAAATAAAGGATTTGGAAAGGCAAACAACTGGAAGTTATATATAGCTATATCACTTTGGATTCCTCTTTCAGGAAGTTTTTGCTTTACTTTGGCAATATGCTTGATGTCTGCTGTGGTTTTTTTTTGTTTGTTTCTAACACTTTTAACCCTCCTCAATTTTTTTTATAATTTTTTTTTTCTTTATGGTTTGACCTTAATTTCAGATTTACAGAAAAGTTACATGAATAATACAAATAATTGCCATAAATCTTCAATCAGATTCCCAAAATGTTAACATTCTATGTTTACTTTATTCTTTTCTCTATCTGTATATGACTTTATATGTTATATAAATATATATTTTTCCTGAATCATTTGAGTAAGTTACAGATATAATACTCTTTTACCTTGAATAATTCAGTGTCTTTTTCATAAAAACAAGGATATAATTTTATATAACCTCAGTGCAGTTATCAGAAATCAGGAAATTAGCATTGACATAATACTATAATATTAGCTAACATATAGATCTTATTCAGATGTAGCCATTTCCCCATGATAGCAGGAGAAAATCCTGGATATGTGTTGTATTCAATTCTCACATGCCTTATACTCCTTTAGAATCTGGAACAGTTCCTTAGTCTGTTTTTGTATTTCATGACTGATATTTTTTAAGCATGTAGGACAGTTATTTTATAGAGCATCCTTCAATTTAGGTTTGTCTCATGTTTCCTTGTGATTTGATTTGGGTGACTAATTTTTGGCAGAACTTTACAGAAGTTGTGTTTTTTCAGGGAGTCACATCGGGAGGCACATGATGTTGATTTGTCCCGTTACTGGTGATGTTAACTTTGACTATTTTTATAAAGTGGTGTATGCTACATTTTTCATAAAGAATTACTATTTTTAGGCCGGGCACAGTAGCTCATGCCTGTAATCCCAGCACTTTGGGAAGCCCAGGTGGGTGGATCACTTGAGGTCAGGAATTCGAGACCAGCCTGGCCAACATGGTGAAACCCCATCTCTACTAAAAATACAAAAAATTAGCTGGGCGTGGTGGCACATGCCTGTATTCCCAGCTACTCACTAAGGCTGGAGAATCTCTTGAACCCGGGAGGTGGAAGTTGCAGTGAGCAAAGATCGCGCCACTGCCCTCCAGCCTGGGTGACAGAGTGAGACTCCTTCCGTCTTAAAAACAACAACAAAAATTACTATTTTAAAATATGGCTGTTTTTCTCTTTGTAATAAGAATTTTGTGAGGTGATGCTTTGAGACTATAAATACCCTTTTAATTTTCTAAGATTCATCCATTAGTTTTAATATCCATTGATATAATAGGAATATCAATTTTTCTGTGATTATATGTTGCAAATATTTAATATTTTCTCCCTATCAGTTATCCTTTGACTTTGTTCATGATGTTATTTTGCCATGCAAAAGTTCTTATTTTGTTTTGATGTAGTCAAATTGATCTATCTTTTATTGGATCTGGGATTTTAAGTCACAGTTAGGAAGCCTCTATATACATCTGTGTTAAAGAGGAGTTCACCTATGTTTGTTTGTAGATTTGTCTGGTTTTATTTTCTAAATTTAGATCCCCGATTCGAGTTTATTCCTGGGTATAGTATGAGGTATATAGGTTGGTGTTATTTTTTTCATAAATAGTTGTATCTGTATGATTTATTTAAAAGTCTGCCTTTGCCTTAGTGAGTTTTTTGTTTGTTTGTTTGTTTGTTTTTGGGGGGGTATGTTTTTTTTTTTTTTTTTTTTTTTTTTTAGAGGGGGGGTCTCTCTATGTTTTCCAGGCTGGCCTCAAACTTCTGGTCTCAAGGGATCCTCCTGACTCAGCTACC